CCAGGCTGACCCCCCCCAACTCTCAGCCTGTCCTCACAGGGAGCTGCTCCAGCCCCTCAGCATCTTCGTGGCCTCCTCTGGACCCGCTCCAGCAGGTCCGTGTCTGTCTTGTGCTGGTGCCCCCAGCGCTGGACGCAGCCCTGCAGGGGGGGTCTCACCAGAGCGGAGCAGAGGGGCAGAATCCCCTCCCTCGACCTGCTGCCCACGCTACTCTGGATGCAGCCCAGGATGAAATGGGCTTTTGGGGCTGCCAGCGCACGTTGATGGGTCACGTTGAACTTTTCATCAACCCGTTGTTCTAACCAGAACAACAACTGTTCTGACCAGTTGTTCTATATGTCAACTGTTGTTCTATACTTTGCAAAATACAAGATGTTCCTTTCCCAAGAGATCCTGTCCACACATTGCCTTCATTTACTGTTGCTGCCTGGCAGCTGACAGTGCCCCCACAGCCATTGCACTGGGACCTGGAGCTCCTCTGTGATGAAGCAACCATATGCTCCTCCTTCCTCAATATCCAGATAAACCTCCCTCACTCAGTTCCCATGTGAGACACCAGGCATGGTGCCTCCCTCCTTGCCGGAATGGTACAGCCTACTCGAGTGCTATCTACAATATCTGCAAGTACCTTTTGAAGGTGAATTTACCAGGTGGAGCTGGTATGAAGTTAGGAAGTGACTGAATGGGTGGACATCGCTGCTGGCACTGGATAGCAGGGCATCAGGTGTTTCATGTGGTGGTGAAGGTAAAGCAGTGCTGAGCAGCTGTCCTGGTCTGTCTTTCCCTGCAGCATTTAGATCCCTCAAGTTGGACCATGGGAAGAAGGTCATGTCTCAAGGGTAGCATCCACAGTCTTTAGGAGCTGCAGCAGAACCTGGGGGCATCTTTGGGCCTGCAACAGTCTCAATATCTGTTTTTCCTCCCTCCTCTCCCAGAGAAACTAATCCTGGCTCCTGAGATGATAGAAATGTGGATGGTTTTCTCTCTTCCAGATGGTTGTGCAACACCAGCATTGATGCCCGCACCAGGAAGTGGGCTGTGGAAGGGCTGGCCTATCTAACCTTCGATGCGGATGTGAAAGATGACTTTGTTGAAGATGAGCCAGCCCTGCAAGCTATGTTTGAATTAGCCAAGGTCTATGTCCATACCTTGTTCCCTCATTCCTCTGGTAGCATCAACTTCTCCCAGCTCTCCAGGCCAACACTGTCTCCCCAGGCAGGAGGAGCTGTGACCCCAACCCCTCACCTCTAGTTTAGCAAAACTTCAGTTTTGCCTGTGCCACGGGGACACCTCAGTGTTGTTGTCATCATGCTTTTCTCCCAAGACTGAGGAAGGTTGCTCTTACCTTTACTGCCAGCAACTGAAAACCAAAGGCACCAAGATGTTGACAGCATCTGATGATGTCAAACAGCCTGTTTGACCGTAAAAACTTATGTTTTTCCCTGCTTTGGGCTATAAAGATGGGGATAAGCCTAAGAGCCCTTCAGCTAGTGCAAACCACCGTGATGGCAGTCTGAAAGGACCTGTTTCCCCGCTGTGTCCTCACCCTCACATAAGCTTTTATTTTTCTGTGCAGACAAGCGACAAGACTATCTTGTATTCTGTGGCTTCTGCACTGGTGAACTGTACCAACAGCTATGATACCAAGGAGCTGGTCCCAGAACTGGTACAACTGGCAAAATTCTCCAAGCAGCACGTGCCTGAGGAGCATCCGAAGGTAGGTTGTCTACAGCTGGAGAGCTGGGAGGAGATGCTCAGATCTGAAGACCTTCTTTGGTGTATCCATTGTCACAGACCTCAGGTCTCTTGTCTCCAAGGCTGAAACTGCATTGCTCTTCAGCCAGGCCTGGCTGTAGGCAACAGGATGGCAGCTGCTGCAGGGCTAATCCCTTTCCAATGTCCCCCCTCAGGACAAGAAGGATTTTGTGGTGAAGCGGGTGAAACGGTTGCTGAAAGCCGGCGTCGTCTCTGCCTTGGCCTGCATGGTGAAGGTGGACAGTGCCATACTGACAGACCAGAGCAAGGAGCTCATCGCCAGGTGCCTTCACCACTCTTGGGGGAGCCAGGAGTGCTGGCCAGCCCACGTGCCACGGAGATGGGCGCCTGGGCTGGCTCTTGCTTTGTGAGATGGTGCATCCTATCTGGGGGGGAGGCATGAAAGGGGGGCGGAGAAAGGATTTTGAACCAAAGTTTTTCTTAAGCAATGTCAAAAATATCCATGTTCTGACCTTGAAGCTGGCAACAGAGCTGCCTTGCTAGGATGCATTTGGAATTTCTAGTCCTCTGTACTGGGTTTGGCCGGAATAGAGTTCATCGTACAGGCTGGACACTTCTTACTTCAAAACCCACCTGGACACGTTCCTGTGTGACCTGCTCTAGGTGGTCCTGCTCTGGCAGGGGGGTTGGACCAGATGATCTTTTGAGGTCCCTTCCAACCCCTAACGTTCTGTGATTCTGTGATTTGTTGTTTCCACCTGGAGTGCCGTGGGCCCTGGGTTAAACATCTGGAATTTTCCTGGTGGATCTGGCACCCCTGCAAAACCTTAGCCCTCTTCCATGAGGGAAGTGGGTTACTGCCTTCCCACGTGGCTGTTTCACTAAGTGATGCTGTGCTTCTGCAGGGTGTTCCTTGCCTTGTGTGAAGACCCCAAGGACCGTGGGACCATTGTTGCTCAAGGCGGTGGAAAGGTGATTACTTTTATGTTTGCAGCCCGACCTGATGTACAGTTAATGTCTGTTGGGAGCCTGCAATGTGTCTGCGGTGAGGGAAGGTGACAGAAAAGCATGAGCTGTCTTGGTAGCCCCTGGGGCTCAGACTGACATTCCAGTCCTATCTCTGCAAGCCTCCAAAGAAGCAATCTTCTTCAAACAACTGTGTGTGAGCTACAAGCTCTGGTGTGGTGCCTATTTGAGAACAAAAGCAAGACATCACAGTGGGCTGCAGTCCAGACCCATTTCTTCAACAGACACATCTTTGGGATATTTTTAACTTATTTTAGTGTACTAAGGCAATCCTGTAAATCTTCTCAGAGGCATTGAATGCTTTCCCGTGTGTCACTAGGCCCTGATACCTCTGGCCATGGAAGGCACAGAAGTTGGTAAGATAAAGGCTTCTCACGCTCTGGCAAAAATTGCTGCAATCTCCAATCCAGACATGGCATTCCCAGGGGAGAGGGTAAGCTTAAAAAATATAAATTTAAAAAAATCATGGTAATTCCATTAGCAAATGAAAATTGCGAAGATCTGAGAGCAGGAAAAGCAGTGGCATGCCTTCTCTTCTTAGGTGTACGAGGTGGTGAGGCCCCTTGTCAGCCTGCTGAATACTGAGAGAGATGGCCTCCAGAATTATGAGGCTCTGTTAGGTCTCACTAACTTTTCAGGAAGAAGTGATAAACTTAGGTGAGTTTAACTGCTTTGTGACCTTCTTTCTTCCCCAGGAGTGAATGTGAATTTCAGACGCTTTTCTTGTAGGACTATGAAGACTGGTCAGCCTTTGGCAGAGCTACAAAGGTCTTGTAACTAAAAGATTAATAAAATAGCCAGGAAGAGAAGAGTGGCACATTTTCCTCTAGAAAGACATGAACCTAACCTGCATTAGATAGGGAATGAACCGTGTGTCCTGAGCTCCAGTGCTGTGGACACTGGTTGGTTTCAAGGCCTTCCCTGTCTGCAGTTACTATTTTATAAGTTGGTTATTGCTTGTTCCATGATGTATTTTATTTGACTGCTCTTCAACACAGGATGAAGATAGTCAAAGAGAGGGCCCTGCCAGATATTGAAAACTATATGTTTGAGAATCACGACCAACTTCGACAGGCAGCCACAGAGTGCATGTGCAACCTGGTGGTCAACAAGGAGGTAACTCACTGGGCATCTCAAACTTGACTGCATGTACCAGTTTGTGAGCCACTGTGATGCGGCACTCCTAAATGTTTCATCTCTGGATATCATGGGGTTGGGTTTTTTTTGGTTTGTGGCTGATGGAAATGACCGGCTGAAGTTGGTGGTGTTGCTGTGTGGTGAGGACGATGAGAAAGTCCAGGTTGCAGCGGCCGGAGCTCTGGCCATGCTTACAGCGGCACAAAAGAAACTCTGCTCTAAGATGACTGAAGTGGTAAGACCATAAGTGATTATGGGCAGTGTAGCCATATCCTTGAAGGGGCCTGGCTCCGTCATGAAATTGCCTCTCAAAAGGAAAATGTAGTCCGTCAGTTTGATAATGAGGAACTTGGTGAAGTTGAGACCTGGGCGTGCATGCTCCTAGTCCACCCTGCCCAAAGTAAACCAGCCTGCCTTAGACTTCACCTCAGAGCTGAAATATTTGTATCTAGCCATTCTTCAAGCTAGGTTCAGGGTGGTAACTGTCAAGCAAGGTTAGAAATGCAGAATATTACTCTATGGGCACTTAAAGCTTTTGATAAAAAACCTGAAATGCAAACCTTGTTTCAGTCAAAAATGAGAAGAGCGTGACAGATAACCTATTGAGCTTTACAGGTCCCAAAACATCTCCATTTCTTGCACAGATCTGTAAGTCCTGAGAGCTCGGACCTTGCCTAGCTGAATATTTGTGAAGAGCTGTGGTTGAGAACTCGTGACCCCTGTTGTGTTGCACACACCCTGATGTGGGACACTAGGTCCTGTTAGAATAAAAATGATTGATTGGGCGAAGGAAGGGCTCAGGAAAATCAGTGCGGAGAGTGGGTGGTCTGCTCCTGGGCATCTCAGCTGTGTCAATACTGGGATCAGGCTTTGAGAAGAGATTATGCAGCATCCTGAACACAAAGGGTGTTTCAGGTGGTGCTAGTGCCATGAAATCGTCTGCCTTTAGCATAACAAAAACTGCACCTGAAAGTCTGCAGTCAGGTTTCCTTAGCTATAGAACCAAATAACCACACCTGACATGAGGATTGAAGAGGCAAGTCCCTGCCCCCCCTTCTGCTGAGGAATGCCTTGCCAAACTTGCATTCTTGGATCAGGTATTCTTCAGATCGATGCTAATGATCTCTCTCTCCCTTGAAGACCACCCAGTGGCTTGAAATCCTGCAGAGGCTCTGCTTGCATGATAACATGGAAGTGCAGCACCGAGGACTCGTCATTGCCTTCAACTTGATCAATGCTGACAAAGAGCTAGCGAAGAAGCTGGTGGAGACCGAGCTCCTAGAGATCCTGACGTACATCGGCAAGAAAGAAGATGACCCCAAGCAGCAGCACATCATTAATGCAGCGCGTGATTGCCTCACAAGGTGCATGGATTATGGGCTGATCAAACCTCTCTCTCGGGCATGAGGAAATGAAAAGCACCAAAAAAGGCTGAGTGGAGAAAAAAAGCTGCTGAGAAATGTGGAAAAGTGAGAGCCATGGGGAAAATCTAGTGCCATTGTCAAGGCATGGAATAGTTTGGGGACAACTTTGGAAGATCAGAAACTGTATGAGGAAAAGGGGGGCGTTTGCCTGGGGAATTTGTAAAGTGTGCATCTGAGTAATTCCCAGGTGGTGTAAATCCTTTCTGTGCCCCATTCAGCTGATAATGCTAAAAGCTTCAAGGCCCAGCTGTAAAAGAGTTGGTTGTGTTGGAAATGTGCCAGGGGGCTGTTGGAAGGAAACAGCTGAGCCGAAATTTGTCCTACAGCCATCTACAGCTCCTGGTCCTTCTGGAATTCTTACCAATGGTGGAACAGAGAGGGTTAAATGCGTTCTACTCTGGGGTCAGGAAATAGGTTGGGTTTTAGCTGTGTGCTTTTTTGTTCATTTATGGTATCTTTAAACAGCCTCAAGTGGTGTGCCAAAGTGTGAGGAGGGTGGATGAACTGAATAAATTCACTACTTTTTGTTCCATGTGGAATTCCTGTTTTGCTTTTATTAAGCAAATGGAGAATCTAAAGTAACTCCCACTTGCAGCCTTGCACCATACCCAGGAAGGTGGAGGCTGAATTCTTGCTCTTGCAGACTGTGCAGTGCTGGTCAGGTGAACATGCAAAGTCACCATGAGGAGGTGGCACTAATGGGTTAAGCTGGGTTCGCACCAGGGCACAGGGATTGGCTCAACAGGGAATCTTGAAAATACTTCATTTATGGAAGAAGCTGAATGAGGTGCAAACACCCCAGTAAGTCATCACGTTAGACTTTCTTAAATACATGTTTACCTGCAAGCACAGATTCTTTATGCAAGCTACAGGCAACACAAAAATCACAGACCCTTGCTTTAGTCCCTGGGGGGAAGAAAATCTAAGCATATAGTAAATATAATCCTTCTCAGCAATGATTGACATGTGAATTCAAGTGCATTAAAATATTTCTGATCATTCCAAATGTCAGTGACCCTCATGTGATGGGCATGGCAGGATTAAGTGCTGAGGTTTGGGGGTTATGAAAGAGTTAACAAAGACAGCTTGTGTTGTCTGCCTCTGCTGGCTCATGTCAAGACCTGGTTCACTGTCCATCCAGGCAGCCAAATGGGAAATGTGGCCCTAGAGACGGGTAGAAGGATTAAACTCGTTTTGCCTGGGATCATTCCAGGGCTCTAGTAAGGGAGCTAAGGAAAGCTCAGCTCAGCAGAGTGTCCAGGATTTGAGCAATCTCTGCGTCTCTTTCTTTTAGTTAAATAAAATTGTTCAGTACACCTGGGCAGTAGGTGAAAGACTACGTAATTCCAGGAAAAGAATATTGTACTTAGTGGGCAATTATGTATTTTTCATATGTTGAATGAAATCGATGGTTTTGGATGTTGGAGTTCCTAATCTGTGAACAATATAAGTAGGTCTGCAGGCATGCTAGCCTGTGATTTGATAAAGTGTGGAAATTTCTCATGATGATTTGATGATGAAAAGGGACCCAAGCTTGAATAGTTCCTTCTGCCCCTGTAGGCAAGAGGGAGTACAAACCTCACTTGGGGTTTCCCAAAGGAAAGAGGAGTATTTCGGCAACATCATCGCTTCTCTCTTCTCAGCCTAATGAAAGCCTCTCTGAAGTACCAGAGATCTGCTTACGGAAAACCCGATTTCATCCTCAGTCCAATCCCACAGAAACCCTAACAACTAACCCTAACAACAGATAGTCTTTCCTTGTATGCTGATTAAGGGGAGCTTCCTGAAGTTAGAAAAGCAAAAATTTTTAAGCTGTAATAGGTTTGAAAGCCTAAAGGCAAATATATTTGGAGAGTGATTCCAGCTGTACACAATGTCTTCTCCTTATTGTAACCACATTCAGCTAAATCACTGGTGCTTTGTGATCGCACTAGGCAGATACTAGACTCTTCTTCCAAACCAAATGCACCACAAGTCATTCTGTGGTGGAAAACAATATGGTTTGTTTTCAACCAGCCATCAGTTTTGTATACCCACTTTCAGGAATTTTGGATCCGTCTTTCAAAAGAATTTCACATCTAACTCTATACAGAGAGTTTTCTCTAACCAGCGTGTCTGAAACAAAGACCAAAATTGCCACTGGTATCTGAGAGCTGTTAACGCCGAGTCTTCCTTCTCCCATTAAAGCTTCCCTTTGAAGCAGCTGGGTTCTTGCAACCCATTGTGAGTGTTGCTGAAATTGAGTGGGGAAAGTACTTCTGTAAAAGCCATTTATTTGTATTTCTTAGCTAAAACATGGACAGTGGGGCCCATTTTTACTTTTCTATATATCTGAATAGAGGCTGTCTCAAAAAAAATGGCTTCTAACACTGGATGCGTCTGCTGTTTGCTAACTTTGCTGAGCAGTACTGTGAGTATGGGAGTGAGCTGGTGAAAGCCAGAAAGTCTTCCAGTTTCCTGCCTTGGCACAGTGGCTTTCACTTGGCAATGCACCTGCACGCAGCCGAAGGCTGAGCGTCAGGTTTTGCAAGTCCTTGAAAGGAGCCTTCAGGGAACGATAGAATTCTACTGATGTTCCAAATATCCCTTTTCTCTGCATTACTGAAACCTTACATTTGATTTAAAGTAGGCTGTAGAGGCTTCCCAAGAAGGTCTGGGCTTTTAGAGAGGACCAGCTACTACAAAGGAAATCCTTCTACTCCACAGATAGAGAGTAAAAAAATTTCAAACATACATGAATTGGAACTGGATGATCTTTAAGGTCCCTTCCAACCCAAACCATTCTATGACTCTGTGAACCATTGACCTGTCAGGGCCTCGTTGGGATCCTGTGTAGTTATCAAGTTACTCAAATAACAGGTGTAGATTTAAATTAGCTCTGGATGCTAGACAGACCAATAGATTTCTTACATTTTTTTCCTTGAAAATAAAAGAATTGAGGACTAATACCAAACACAATGCTTCTCTCTAAGCCAGAGAAATGATGGACACTGTCAAGAACAGCATGCTCCTCTAGCCCTCCCTCCATTTTTCCTAATGATACATCTAACTTGAACTTCTTCACTTCCGAAGCTAGTATTCCAGAATATGCTCTTGCTTCTTCATCTGTACAGCACAGAACAGCAGTATCTTTCTCGGAGTAAGCCTTTGTAAGACATGTACAACAATGTTCTGCCACATACTCTGCTACTCTGCTTCTGCCTGGTCTTCCTTGTGCAGCATGAGCACATGTGGCTCGGTGTGATAACCTTTCCAAACGTTCATTGGGAATGTTTAGGGTAGAGTATTCACAACCTTTTCCATATGTTCTTTCAGATGGCTATAGATATTGTTCGCTTTGCAAACCACTTTGGTTAGTGACTCGACAGGATCATGCCTTCTTGCTTCTGGAAGACCAGTTTGGAAGTGGTGCCTTGTCCATAAGTAGTCCAGGAGAATCCAGAAAAAGCCGGGCTCTGGATGACGTGATGAAGTTAGAGACAAGACTTTGCTACACCAATCACCTTCCTGATGATTGGAAATTCTGTGCTTCATCAATTATTATGTGCTTTACATCATCAAAGCTTGCCTTCAAAGAGTCTACTCTTGTCACAGCTTGGCAAATGTCTTTCTGCCTACAGAACAGATACAAGTGGATTAAAAACAATTTCTGTGTTGCAAACTACTGGTTATACTTGATAGGAATGAAGTGAATGCCCACGATACTGAAGTCATATTTATTAGTAGATGCTCAGGATGGTGAGAAAAGAATTTGAGCCTTACTAAAAACACATCCCAACTACATCCTTCAAACACTGCAATGATGGTGGACCAAACAGCGTACCAAATATACTAATCAGTACTCAGCTATTCAAAAATGCTGGTGAAATATCAGGGTGTTGAAATGAAGAAATGGAGGAAATACATACTGCACAGAATCTCTCAGAGGCTAGGTCTCGCATACATAAAGAACTTCCTCTTGTGTGCACTGTAGCATAGTTTTTATTTTCTCTATGATCTTCAGGGCCACTATAGTTTTTCCTGTTCCTGGGAGACCATAAACATACAGCCTCTTAGTTTTGTGAAGATTTTTTGACAGCAGCTGGTATTGTTCAATGGTTAAAAGAGGTTCAAAAACTCAGAACCAACACGGTCACTTAAAAGGCACTTGAAAGTCAGCAGAGCTACTGTGAGAGCATGCAAGAGCGCCTTCAAGTGTCACTGTCGATTAGGGTGTAGTTTGGGGGATACACTTCTCAAAGGTTCAGATCCCATCCTTTTCCACAGTTAATATTGGGATGCAAAGTCAGTAGCTTTGGTATTACACACAATTTGTGAATATAGCCCCCAGTATCGACTAATTTCTCCTTCAGCTTCCAGGCTATGCATCTTGAGTATCCAGACAAATCCTTTGAGAAATGATGCTTACAGATTGTACAGAGGATAGGTGGCCTGTCCTTGGCTACTAGGAGAACATCACAAATTATGTCTTGGTTTTCTGGCAAGGTGACCTCAAGAGCCCAGCTTCTGGAAAATATCAGAACTCCCTCAGAAAGCTGCTTCAATTGATTTTCCATTAAAAAAATACAACCCTGGATGCTCTTGGAGATCTTTACTGAGTTTTTTTTTAGTATATATTATGCTGTGGGATTTCACTAGCAAGGCAAAGAAGAAAAGTGTTAGTATAAGATATGCAAATCCAGCCCTCTGAAATGATTCTGTGGGAATTACTATTGGTGAAAGGCTACACATACCAACCACAGCTGCCTGAAAGACCTTTTTTTCTTCTTCAAAATCTTCCTTAACCACTCCATGTGTTTCCATCTTCTTTTGCAAAGACTACTTCTTCAAGGAACTCAATCCTCACCTCCTACCCAGGTCTCAGTCCCTTTCCTAAAAAGGCCAGCACAGGGCCCAACCTTGTTTAGGAGACCTGGTGAATAAACAAAGAAATAGTAACAGCTCAGTACAAAAGCCCCACGGACACCTGGCTGATCTCGCAGTGCCACAGAAATGATGGACTGTAACCAGCAGCAGACTCTCCGCTCCGGTCCCAGCCCAGTCACTTTATGTAGTTGGGCTGATTCCACGTCAACACCTCCTGACTTTCCCGTTTTTCACTGGATTGCGAGAAGACGTTGGCATGGCTGTGCTGGGTCTGCAGAGAAGTTCACCGAGCTGAGCTCTGTCATGTGCATGTGTCAATAGCTGGCAGAAGGTCAGTCCTTGGGGAAGGGGGTCATCAGGCATTTGAAACGCTATTTTGCTGTCAGATCTGCAAACTATTTCCATCTCTTTCACCTTTTAAAGAATGCCTTCAAATCTTTGGCCTTGGCCATGCCCTTGAGATTCATGTGGTAAACTTAGCAGACAGTGAAAGTAAAGTGCAGACCTACCAGGAAACAGTTGCTTACAAAGAGCATCAACGTTGTCAAGGCCCTGGTGTGAATAAACTGGGTTGATAAGAGGTGGCCCCTCTCTCAGACTGAGCTCTAGCCTAAAGGTCTGAGAAAACTTTGAAAGACCTGGAAAAAAAGAAATAAAAACATGTGATAGAACATGAGCATTTGCTGTCCCTCAGTGCAAGAACTACAGACTGTCCTCGTGCTGGTTTTAAATCTTTTGCTCTTCTTTAAAATAACAGATGCAATTCAGGATCAGAACCCTTGCAGCTCACATGGTCAGCAGCCCATTAGCAACAGAACAGGCTCAGGTCGTGGACCGTGGAGCTGCTTTTGGTTTCCTTATCTCATTAGCTGCTGTTGTGACCTCTAACTGTTAGTGATACCCCTATCACTGCCCAAAGATTAGCCAACGAGCAACTCATCTGTCCATAGCTCTCAGCTTATTAGTCTGGCAGCAGCAGTGGAGAATGCCCCTAAACAGCAGGAGGCAAAGTCCAGATGAAGCCTGAAGCAGACGGCAGTTGCCACAGACTATGGCAGTTACATAAAAAACGATGTGCACTGGGGTCTAACCTCAAAAGCGGTCAACTTGAGGCATGGAGAGCTCATGCTGCACAAATAGGGACTGACGCTGATATTAATAAGCTGCTAATGACCAGGACCTGCTGCAGCCTGAAGCGAGCTTTAAGGAAGGTAAGTAGCAGAAAGACAGGTATTTATTTAGCAAGGACCTGAAGCAGTCAAGCTGGTTGGCTTGCTCAGGCCCCCAAAGAACCCTGAAAAGCAGGTAGGACTATCTCAGGCAAACAACACTGCCAGGGCAGGGGCAAGAAAATAAAAGGAAGTATCAAAAATGGAAAGGGATTGTCCCGGCTCTTTTGGTCCTGGATCAGCAGCAGTTCATCCACGCAGCCCGCTCATGCACTCTCAGTCTCCTGAGGGTGCTGCCTTCAACTAGCCATGAGTCCAGGTCTTTGGAAAATGGAACGCAAGTAAATGGCTGGATCTTCACAGCACGGACGTAGCCACAGTGATCTCCCACCACGCGGGATACTTCGAAAATTTTGTGGTCATACCTTACGTTGTGTGTGTTTCCACTCCCACGAAAATGGAAGAGGGTTAATTTGCTTTGAATGGAATTGATTAGGAGACTTAGTATTTCAAGGTCCTCAGCATCACTGTTGAATCCCTGCACTCTGCTGTCATCATCCACACCGATCCATAAATGCCCACTGCTTGTGTTTGCAAGTCCAGCAATATGCTGGGGTAGTATCTCTTTGACACGAGTCAAAAATGTTTCAGTTGAATAGCGCTTGAATTCTACATCTCCTGACTCTGTGAAGTCCATGTCTCTCCCTGTCACAGCTGGTCCCTGCTAAACAACTCGGCAACAGTGTTATTTGTAATATCCATGTCTCCTCCAGTAGGCCTTGTCTTCTTGATTTTAGCAGGTGATCCTGGGCTAAGCTCTCTCCTGGCTTCATCCTGCTTTTCTTTAAGGAACAAAAAAGCTTCAGTAGGGTTCATGAGGGAAGAGAAGCGCCACACTTTGCGTACAATGCAGTACTCAGGCTACAGATACGTAGCTTTGCACTTGTACAGTTAAGGATGCGTTTTCACTGCTCCAGGTTTTACTAAAAATCAAAAGGTAATTATCTCGCTATTCAAAGTCCAGGTATTTTCTCCAGTCTGGAAACGAAAGAAGAAAACAAAAAGTCTCTTCCATATCTAGTCCAATCTTGTCTCTCTCCAAGTTGTAGTTTTCATTTTCAATCTCTGCTTTTACAACACCTCCTCCGGAGTTCAGCAAGGCACACACTGCCCAGGCAATGGTGCATTTCTGATCTTGTTTTGACTTTTTTGGTATATTTTTTCTTGCTTTTTGACCAAAACATATTTTTCAACACACAAAACTACTTCAGGATACTTTGTTGCTAAATTAACCAGACCTTCTGCTGTTGTTGATCATCTTCAAGAGCCATTCTGGGCCTGAAACAATTGTAAAAAAATTGCTTACCATTTATGCTGAAACATCAATCTTCCAAAGACTTCCAAAAACATTAGCTAAAAAGGGGCCATCTTTTGGAGAAAAAATACATCGAGTCACAGAGATGACAGCAACAGGGGTCTTTCTCCACTTCCAAAACGGAGTGCTTACTTAAAACCCAAATTTGTCCCCAGGTATTTTTTTTCTGTCCTTGAGCGTGAGGGCATGTAGGGACCTTGCTGCCGTCCGTCCCTCTGAACACACAAGGAGCCTCAAATGGTTTCTCTACAGCCAGGCTTGTTATCCCCTTACATACTCCTGGACTGCGTGCCCCCTCCTCCTCCCCAATGACTCAGAAAAGCTGTGCTAAGCCTCACCTCGATCTTAAGAATCCAGTAATCCCACCAATTAATAACCAGTAAACAATAACAACTGACCCTTCTACTTTCAGCTCTAGTTGGCCACCCTTGCTAGTCAGGCGGCTGAATCTCAGTTGATTGTCACTTGAACTCGGGCTGCTGGCAAATCCGTTGAAATGGTGGCAAACTGCATCTGCATCACTTTTAAGCCAATTCCTGAGAACAAAAACCAGCCCCCTTGCTACAAAACACATCTGTGGTGCAAAAGCACCTGGAAATAAATGAAAGTGTGCCTAGAAGAGATCTCGCCTGTGACAGGAGTGCAGCTTATTTCCACTGGCACAGATTTGCCTCCCACATGGCCAAATATTAAGCCAGAGAGCTGCGGGGCACAAAAACTCCAACAAGCATCTCCTCCAGATCTGATGCAGGAGACAAGTTTCCTGCCTTGTCTGCCTCTCTTCTGAGGTAGCTCTGCTGAGGAACATAGCTCTGCTCCTCGTAGCTTTGAGTTATGGCACAACTAACGCAGCAAGGGAGGCAGTGTGGGCTGTGTTGGGTTTGCCCCAGCTCAGAGGGGTGGGGGGAAGTTGTTCTTAAGACCTGGTTGTGTTTCTCATTATTCTTGGTGGTGTTTAACTTAAACTGAAGTTGTTTTCGCCAAGTCGAGTCTGTCTCTTGCCCATGACCACAACTGGTGAGTGAGCCCTCCCTGCCCTTGTCTCAACTCTCGAGCCTGTTGGTTATATTTTCTCCTCCCCATCCCACCAAGGGGGCTGGGGGTCAGCGAGTGGCTGCCTGGGGCTTTGTTGCCAGCTGGGTGGGCTTAAACCATGACAGGGCTAATTTTTGCTACCAGCTAGAGGAATTTTCCTGTCCAGTTCCACAACCACTCCTCTAGCTTGCTGCAACAGGACTGCTGAGATCTGACTCCCCTGGTGTGACAGAGAAAAGGACTTACCTCACCTCTTCTTCTTAGCTCTGGGCTAAAACATCAATATTTGAAATATCAATTTTAAATTCTTAAATGTTCAAGTCCCAGAATGATGGGCAGCAGAAATGGGGTACAAAGCATGCGGAGCATGTTACCTCTCTTCTCCTCTGCCCCCTCCCTCTATTAAAATCTAAGAGAAATGAAACGTACTTTGTTGCTGTTTTCTCTTCTTCTCTGCCAGTTTTGTTTTCTTCTCCTCTGTGTTTCCTGTGATGAAGCACCAGCGTCCACAGACTTCACTGGATCTTTCTAGCTCTATCTGAATTTCAGAACCAGATTTTGCTGGGAGCCCAGCCCTCTGGAGCTATTACTTCCCTCCCCTTGGCACTTTTCCAGCAGCCAAAGCCTATCAGAGGAAAGACACAACTAAAAAAAATAGTTTAGAAGAAATCCCCTGACTTACAGCATTTACATATGTCATTGCTTGTTCAGTCTGAAAAGCTGGTGTCCACTAAACCTCTATGTTATAATCAGGTCTGAATTTTAAATAGATAATTACTTTTTGTTGATAATTAATTGCTTTTAATGAACAACTAAGGTTAATTAATTAATACAAGTATTAATTTCCTGATTCAATTAATTTACATTAAGGTAAGCAATATACAAAACCTCACTCATGCTAAGAGACAGCAGATGCAGGCCTTACGAAGATGGCCAAAGCTAGAGCTGCTGCGGGTTGTGAAATTGTACAGAACACAGAACAGGGAGGGAGGGAGACAGGTACAAGGGGTGAAATTGTACATTCTCAGCTAGTTCTCTTATGTGATGAAACCATAGAAACAAAGGAATGCTGCTGTGAAGACTCTCACATACTGCCCATCCTGATTTGTGTATCAGAGATTTTGATCAGTAAAATAACCAATGATTATATTAGTATAGGAATATTAATAAAGTCATATAATAGGGTGGACTAATCATTGTAAATGTCAAAATTAATAGCGGGCATAACATGCATGCTTATGTTAAAATATGTTAAAGATCATGACTTTGCAGAAAAAGGATATAAAAAGGTTGAATTTTTGGTGTAACTTTGAAGCACGTCAGGAGGAGCCATCCCCCGTGCTTCCCAGCGCCGCAATGAAGAAGTGCTGGCTTCTCTGCAGCTGTAGGTAAGCGTGTCGTGGCTGCGACCCTCCGCCACCACCCAGAGCTGCCCAGGCCCAGAGCTGGGGAAGAGGGTGGCCGGCGAGAAGGCCCCTGCAGCAGACGGGGGCTGCGTACCCTGGCCATAGGAGATGCAATGTTCTTACTTTTTTGTACTGACAAAGCACACTAAAGCTCAGAATTTTGTACGGAAATCACGCCCATATACAGCTTTCAGCTGAAATGATTAAAGTTACGGGTTAAAACTGTCTCATAACTTTTCCCCATGACAGCGGTCCGTGCAGGGGGCCCCTCTGGAGCATCCTCAGTGTCGCCCCCCTCCTCGGGGCAACATTCCAGCAAAGGCACAATATGCAACCGGGAGAGCCGCGCCTCGGGACTGGACGGCAGCTGAGGGGCTTATCCCCGCCTGCGGCCCGGCTGAGCACGTCGGGGCCCTGAGGAAAGGGAAGAGCGATCGCAGAGCTGCCCCGGGCCGGGCCTCGCCACCCCCACGGGCCTCCTCGGGGCGGGAAACGCTCGCCCCGCCCCGAGCTCACCTAACGCGCCATCCTATTGGCGTCCGACCGATGTCGCCGGCACTGTCGCGCGCTGC